GCTTGTTAACGGCGGAGAGGCTGCTCCATGGGCCGCACGCAGCAGGCACTGGCGGTGGGGCGCGCAGGGAGCGCGGCGACGACAGCAGAGGGAATGCGCCGTGGGCGAGGGCTGCCGGCGATGGTCGTCGGGCGATTGGCGATGTGGATGCGACGACGACGAGATGGAAGAGGGAAGATGGGATGGGGGCTGGTGTGGAGCTGCTTGAGCGCCGTCTAGATCACACACGAACGGTTGGCAAGTCAGCTTCTGCTTAGTGCGGCTGCGGCAACTCTGTCCTGGAGCAGCTCCGGGCGTGATGCAGAGCCGCGATGAGGTTTGATGGAGAGCCTGCGACGCCCTACACGCTCGCAACATGTGACACGGCGGGCTGCGGACTGCGTCGAGCATGTCTGGCATGGCCGCATTACGCGTGGGCACCTTCATTGCGACGCTGCTGCGCTGCTGGGCGTGCCTCTTAACAAAGCACCTGAACCCCATCTCTCGTAGGAGCATACACGCCCAGATGGGTGCATCGACCAATAATTGCGTGCATGCAAACGGCGCCATGCAGCGTGCAGCCGCTTCTCGTCTGTGCCGGTCTGCCTGAGTGTCCTCGATTCCGGCACTCTGCTGCTACTCGCTGCCGCCGCCTGAGCATTTCTTATTTCCCTTCTCAGCACCTACAACTCGTCGCTGCTCCGCGTGCCGGGTTGAGGCGTTGCCAGCTTCGGCTAATCTACCACGAGCCTCTGGACCACGGCGGACGTGCGCATCTCATTTCCTCGCCATCCGGTGGCTGACTCTGTATAAATCGCCATCTCCATCGACTCTCTCGTGCACGCGACAATGCCAACACGCAGGCACAAAAGCGAACAGGGCAGAATGTTGGGGCTGCAAACGCCCATTGGATGAAGCCTCACCACGACGGTGACGGAAGGCGCGACCATGCCGCGAAGACTCCATCCGCTCTAGCTCCTTCGGTCGTAGCGCGGCCCGAGCGTAGATCGCGCTAAAACTCTGGGCGGCATCAATTCTCGAACTTTTTTGCAGAGGCGCATCCACCCCGACGAGCGCAGCAACAACCGCCTGAAATCACCATGGCTTCCGTATACAAGACCCTGTCCGGCGCGGAGAAAGAGGAGAAGGAAACGGGAGTGCAGAGAAACAAGCAGCGTGTCCTTATTCTGGTACGATTCCGCGCGCGGCGCAAACCGAGACCCATGCTGATGATTGTCAGAGTTCAAGAGGTGTTACTTTCCGTCACCGACACTTGCTACAGGACTTATACTCGTTGATGTGAGTGGTTTGCGCGATCGGAGAACTTCATTTACTGATATTATGAAAGGCCCCATAGCCGGAAAGAGGCCAAACTTGACACCAAGACCAAGCTTTATCAACTCAACGAACTAGCAGAACTTTACAACTGCAACAATGTCCTCTTCTTCGAAGCTCGTAAGGGCAAGGATCTTTACTGCTGGATGTCCAAGCCACCAAACGGTCCTACTGTAAAGATGCACCTGCAAAACTTGCACACCATGGAAGAGCTCAACTTCATTGGCAACTGCCTGAAAGGATCGCGACCAGTTCTCTCCTTCGACGCCGCCTTCGACAAGCAGGCTCATCTCCGCGTGATCAAGGAGCTCTTCACCCAGATTTTCGGCGTCCCCAAGACGAGCCGAAAAGTCAAGCCTTTCGTAGACCACGTGATGGGTTTCACAGTCGCAGACGGCAAGATCTGGATCCGCGTGTTCCAAATCAACGAGAGCGAGACTAGCAAGAAGAAGCCTGCCGATGGCGAGGAGATGGACGTCGACGAAGCGCCCAAGAAGAAGAAGGGAAGCGAGTTCGATGTCAACCTAGTCGAAATCGGTCCACGTTTCGTGCTCACTCCCATCGTTATCCAGGAGTCCAGCTTCGGAGGTCCAATCATCTACGAGAACAAGGAGTTCGTCTCGCCCAACCAGATCCGTTCCGACTTGAGGAAATCAAAGGCCGGCAGGTTCAACAAGAGGACCGACGCGCAGAGGGATACCCTGCTCAAGCACCAGGACCTGGGATTGACATCACACGGTGGAGTCAGGAAAGAGAAGGACCCGCTCAGCGACAATGTGCTGTTCGCGTAAAACTGTTTGCCATGTTTCGAGGGAAGGAAAAATGGCGTTTATGGAATGCATCGTCTTATTTAGATTGGCGTCGATTCTGGGCTGGGCATAGGCCCGTATGTATGTATAGCGATATACCCAAAAGCTATCGTTTAATGGGTAGCTCATTGCGAGCGACCGTTAACCCAAGTACTCCTTATCCTTTGGCGATATCAGTGTGTCCTGTCAGCAGTCAAGCTCTTCTCCAAGACTTCTTTATACTCATCATCAACACCACTAACAACCGCCTGTCTGACTCCATATACAGCCCTAAAAGGATCAAGCACTAGCTGTGTCTGCGCATAGTTACTCTCGTCCTGCACACGATGTACCCGTCCACTAGGAAACCTCACGCGACTAATCGCGCCATCTATGAGATGCACCTGCAGCCGATATAACTGCGGCGCAACAGCCAACAGATCAACCAGCTCCCGTACTTTGCTCTTTATGCCAGCCGGCAAACCTCTGCCCCCGCAATTATACTTTATCATCCCCGTGTAATCATCCACAGACTCGACATTAACAACATAATTCCTAATCCGCAGCAGATTCCTCTGCGAGAAGTGATCCAAGAACGGATACGTCCGGTTCGGCGTAAGATTATTCGCCGTGCGCCATCGATACCGAAAGTTGATCGCGTCGAACGTCACGTCAATCACAAAGGTATTGTCTCCATATAGCATGTCTGCAGCTTCTTCGTGGACGTGTCGCGACACGGCGAGGAGGCTCGTGTGCCCGCGCCGCCAGACTGTGTCGTTGCCTGTCTCGCGCTCTGTGCGTGGTAGTGTGCGTTGCATGCGCCAGCCCCCGTCGCCGTTCTTCTGCCGCACAAAGGTCAGATTGTATTCGGACTTTGGAGGTGGGTCGGGAGGGTGCTGGAAACGCACTTCGAAGGTGGTGGTGTGGGGGAGGACGTGGCTGTAGATTAGGCGGCGGAGCTCGATTGGGAGGCGGAGGAGCGGGGATAGCTGGGAGGATGCGGTTGCTGTGGAGTGCTGCATTGTGCGCTCGTTATCTCGTGGCATTGGACTTGCAATGGCATGTTGTGAAGATAGGCGCATCTTCGTGCGGCATGCCTGGCGCTGCTCATTGACGCCATCGGTGCTCTCCCGTCTCCACGCCGATTGGCCCCCACAATCCGGGTTAGCCCCCCTTGGCGGCATCCATCACGTCCACGGTCGTCACGACTGGTGACTCCTTTCCCTCTCCTTAACCACTAACGATGACCTTCCATTCCAGAGACAGCTCGCCAGAGCTTGCATTCACTTGCACCATGTCTTCCCAGAATGTCGTCGCGTTTTCTACCTATAGCCCCAACGGAGGGGTCCGATTTGTTTGAACCACGCGATACGTGTCGGTGTAGAGGCGAGATAGCTACGCACCGATTAGATCGATAGATCGATATACGAAACTGAGGTCGAAGAATAGTGAAAGGAGGACGAGATTGAATCGAATTTCGCATCACTATCACGAAAGACAACCCAGCACCCAACGTGGGCTGAAGACACGCGTAAACTTGAAAGATCACAGGTGAGTTCCATCATACATATCGTGCTGTATGTCTTCTATCATATCAATCCATTACTGACTGGAGATCTAGCCACCAAATCGCCCCCCTACCCTACAACCACCTCCAAGATGCTGTTCGAAGATCTCGCAACGGAGCTTGTTGTGCAGGTGTACCTATCATGCCGTTCAGTCAATGACGTGACAGCGCTATCTGCCACCTGTCGTCGTTTCCGCAACATCTATTCTTCCTCCCAGAAACTACCCATACTCGAGAAAGCCGCCGAGACGCAGTTCGGTCCGCTAGAAGACCTCACGCAACTCCTCACCCACAACAGAAGTCAACCTGCGCACATCGTTCGCTCCGTTCCGTTCTCCCTCGCATTACTCAAGCAGATCGTACAGCACGGGCGCACGGCTGAGAAATGGTGCGATATATACCCGTTCAAAAAGTGGAAGCACAACTTCGAAAGCCGGCGTCTCTTGACAACAGACGAGCGCTATCTCGTGAGGCGAGCCATCTATAGAATCTGGCTCTACTCCCGCGCCTTCCACAACAGCGACCACCCACGTGAAGCCCGCGCGTCCCGCCTCGTCCTACTCAAGCGCGCAGCCCTCCTCCACAACTGGAGCACCTGGGAACTCGCCGAGATCGCCGACGTCCACGCCGTCATCCGCGAAGTCGTACAACGCAACGTCTGCCCCTCCAACGGCACCATCGCCCGAAAGTTCAAGAAACGACATCCAGGCAACGAGCACTCCCTGCTCTTCAACATCCACCTCAACTACCCACCCACCGCGCCCCATGCCTTCAACCCTTTCACGCCAAACCCCCTCGCCACCCACTTCAACAACACACCCACCTACACCTCCCGCTACGCCGCGTCCAAATACTCGCTCCATCCCTCACACGAAGTCGGCGCGGAAGGCTGGGGCGATGATATACCTCATTACTACGTCATCGAGGACTATATGAAGCTTGATCCGGCTCAGATACTTTACTTGAAGGAACATGCGCCGTTGAAGGGCATGGTCGAGGGCTACGTGCGCAGCTTGTGTCCTGAGTATGACTGGTTCACGAATAATGGGGAGACGTGGGTTGCGACCTTGGAGTTTGTGCTTGGGGAGAGAGGAGAGGATGTGGGGGATTTTATGGGGGCTATTGCGGAGGGGGAGGCGGGTGTTGCTGTTTGTGAGGAGTGAAGCTGGGGGTTGAGGTACATGCTCATTGAACGTATAGTGTGAACTAGGCGATTCGTCATATCAACAACACGCTTGCGAGTCCTGAATGCACCATATATCAACATCGAAGAAGAAGTGATCATCATTCCGAATGGCCTGGCCACGCTTTCCCAATATGTCTCACTCTAGTTATACAAAGTCTTCCTCCTGTCCATCATAGTCCTCCAGTTCGTCATCAATGTCGTCCCTCTTTGCCTGACTTGATTTGTTGTGTTTCCTTTCCCTCGCAACCCTCGCTTGTCTCAAGCTACTCGCTGTGCCTGATCCCACGTCTTCTTCGATATCATCTGTCAGTGCTCTACCGGACTTGGTTCGTTCCCTCTCTTTTGCGCCCCTGCCGTCTCTCCAACTGTTGGCTTGGTCCATGATGGGCGGTTTTCCTGTAGACAGTTTCTGTTTAGCATCTGTGCTCTCGTGCTCTTGTTGATTCGGTGTGGCGATCTCGGAGTCGAGGACATCATTGCCAGAGGAGCTGGTATCTATCTCAATGCTTTGGGATTGGCTGCCGCTGCCGCTGCGCTTCTTGCTTGGCTGCGTCGTTATGCAGTCAATGTTGTGCACGGTGCAGTAGCGACAAGCGTCTTGGCCAGGCGTTCGGCGGCACTTTTGCTTGCGTTTGGTGCACTTATCGCAGCTCATCTGGACACGCGGATGAGCTTGAATGCAATGATCGCATAGCTCGTCCTTTCTGTCGACGAAGTCGTAGTTTGAAGGATGGCCTTGCTTCTGCCAGTTCGGGCATGGGTATTTGTTGTAGCCACCACGATTGCGATGCGTAAGGACATCTGACTTTGCGATTGGAGAACGGGGTGCGAGATCCGGGCGAGTTGACCGTGGACGAGTCTGAGGTGAAGGTATCGCAGTCCAAGTCGATTTATCCTCCGCGTTTTCCACCAACCCATCAGATCCCAACTGTTCAAGCACTGGTTGAAGCTCAGCGACCGGAGTATTGAACATAGTTGCAAGATCCGATATGTTTTCGCTCACTCCAGGCAGGCTTCTTAGGTAAGACAAAGCACGATCGGAGAGATCGTTTGATGTGTGTTCATCATGACTAAGATCATCCTCTGGCCAGCTCGCCTGTAACACGAGTACTCTTGTTCTACCCGCATCGGTGAGACCCCAGATCTGTCCGCTAGCCTCACTATAGACGAGCCCGTTGGCTGCTAGATTCCGGAGCGCAGGCCACAGTTGATCAGTGGTAGCCATAAGCTCACCGATCATGGTAAGAAACTGGTGTCTGCCGCCCACACGATCCATGCATAGCAAAATCCGATCAGCTAGATCACCTTTTGGCTTCTCCGGTCGTTCTTCTGGACTAAAGCCAAGATCCCAAGACATAGGTTCTGAGATAACCCATGTATCCCCATCAATAGTGTTGTGAACTTCTCCTTCTGCAGCTAGCCTTCGCAAAGCCTGAGCGATGGACGTAGGGTGCCGGCTTTCGAATGCAGAAGCGATCTCCTTGAAGTTCTGACCTATGTACGAGCCAAGTCGGGTCTTGAAATCATGGTCGAGGTAAGTAAGGATTCGTGCGTCTAGATCAGGCTTTTTTGACTCTGGCTCCAAATCTGCTGACGCACTGCCCGAGTTGGATGTACTATCTGCTGGCGCGTCGTATGATGGAACGGTACCTTCTTTGGTGCGGTGCTTGTCATCTACCTGATCTTTGATGTCGCGCAGCCTTTGGTTCCATTCAGGATAAGACAATGCATCGACAGATTCTCCAGTGTCCTCAGGTTCTGCAACTGGCGCAATCGGCGGTGTCGGAAAGCGTATTTCCAAACCTTTCAGCACTGTACTTCCCCGATCCCCAGACCGGCTATTACGATCTCTATTTCCCCAACCGCTAATGAGGCCATTACGATCGATAGCCTGTTGAAGCATATCAAATACTGCATCCGCATCAGACTTTTCGTCGCTGTGAAAGTACCACGGGCCCCTCTCAAAGTATCCTTCCTCTTCCTCCATTGCGTAATGCCACACGCGCAAGAACGTTGTGTTCGAGTAGTCGAATTTGCCGTGATCAGTGCCACGTGCCAAGTCCGAACTAGCACTTTTGAGGTCTATCGTGGCAAATGGTTGGTCCGAATAATCGTTCTTTTCAAATTCCACAATGAGCTTGCTCTTGTAGACATATAGGATGGAATCCGTCCAGTTTGGAGTGTTGGGTGGTTCGAAAACCTTGACACGGATGACAGCACGTGGCCCCGCATCTGGTACGACAGCATCCGCATCTTCGGCTTCCGAAAAGTGGGCCGTCTTGTCATCTTCCTGAACTTGGTCATCGAGCTTCGCAGCATTGGGCTTGTTGATGTCAGCAGATGGGTCTTCGAGAACATCCCTTCCGCTCTTCCCGGTGATCGTCGGTTCGGGGTTCGTTGCCTTATCAACCTCTGCTGTATTCCTCTTCTCCCGTTCCTGACGCCCACGATTGATAGCTCGTTTGAAAAGTTCGAGAAGCGCAATTGAATCAGCAACATCAGAGCTACGGAAATGCCATGTTTCTCCCTGGTCTGATCCTTGCGATACTGTCCACAAGGACACAATCGTGCCTTTGCCGCCGTCCACATTTGTGGTGGTAGCGGTAAAATCTATGGACGCATACGGCATATGTCCAGTAGATTCTCCGTATGGATCAGGATCATAATCGCCAGAGTACATCTCGATCTTGCTCCTGAAAACTCGAACCCATGAGTAGAACCAGTCTCCAGTATCGGTGCGTGGAGACAAGACTTCCACTCGGACTACCGCGGGATGCTCTGTAGCCTGCGCAATACTGTCTGGGTCGTTTGGTGCCGAGAGTTGCTCCGATGCAGGCGTATCAGAGTCTGTCGCGTCAGGCTGTTCGGCTTGAGCAGATGTGTCTTCAAAGACATAACGTCCGCCTTTTGCAACAGTGGATAGCAACAGCCAGGAGCTAGGCAATTTTTCGACCGGCATCTCCAAATGTTCTCTTGAACCCTGCTCGTGCGCTTTGCTATACACAAGCGCATTTTCAGACATCTCCATTCTTTGTAGAACTGCTTTGGCGAAATGGAAGCCGGGTTCGCAGAGTTTGTGAACATCTTCAAAGACACCGTCTTTGCACACTTCGCAAATTTCGACATGTAGTTCGAAGTCCATCAAAGCTTTGGCCTCGTCGTCCTTCCAAGCCCGCGACTTTACTGGTTGCTTGCCAAATCGGACACTGTGGGTAGTCTCTCCTCCAGAGACAGACGGGGAATGCTGATCCGTGGGAACCGGTAATGATGAAGAAGAGCTTCCCTCGACCTGCGCAGGCTGTTTCGCCAAGATAGTAGGCGAAGTATTACCTTTCGTTGGCGGAAAGTACACCGGCAGAAGGCTCTTGTAGACGAACTCGTCATTGGAAGAAAAGACAACGAATATGATCTTATCAAGCCCATTACCCGGCTCAGCAGATTCCAAAAAGCGCTTCACTTCCTCCATGGCCAATGATGCGCAGTCGCGCCGCGGGTAGTTCCGCATGCCGGTTCCGATACTCGGTATCGCAATGGAAGTTGCCCTCATGAGTACGGCATCATGCAGAATTGCCCGGTAGATGTTCCTCAAAATGTTCTTGGTATCGCTCCTAAACACTCCAGGCGGAACGACATGGAGGATATGTTTGGCTGGGAGGAGGTATCCGGCAGTTGCTTTGACGTCGCCTTCTTCGCATTTGCCGAAGGTTGAGACTTCTGAGCGCAGTTCGTCTCCTCCTTTCTTGAATATGCTGCGGTCTAGAGTGCCCATGCCGGAGAAGCTTGGGTCGGTTGAGTTTACCACGATGTCGACTTCCAGCCTCGTGATGTCCTCTCTTAGTAGGCAGACAGTGTGGTTAAATAGAGTGGAGGGTTTCGCCATTGTAGGCTTCGCTTCCAGTTGGCCCAGTATGTAGAGCCTCGCTACGGGGGGTATTTGATGGATTTGGATGAGTCCGCGAATTTTGGGGGTAGGCCTTTCAGCCTCACGCACGTACAGTACCTCATCCAGATGATCGCGTATACCTTCGGCATCTTGACCTTTCTGCTTGACACCATAGGTCTCCAAGATCTGACGCGCTCTTCCCATCGCATCTGGTTCTGCTTTGCCAAGTATCAGGACCTCTTCTAAGCTGTTGGCGAAGATCCAGCTGTAGTCAAAGACACTCGTAAGCTCGAATCCATGCTTGGCTCGTATATCGGTGTTGGCTTCGGTCCAGATAGACTGCGTATTTCCAGCACGGCCCTGTTTACGTGCTCGCTCGGCCATATCCATAATGTCAGCACATGCCGTAAGAATGACGGAACATAGTAAGTTGAGATCGCCCAGACTGCGCTTGAGCTCTTCCGACCCTAGGAGGTATTTGCGGATCGAGCTCAGCGTAGAGTCGATCCTACGCATATCGTGAGCACAAACCGTACTTTGCGTGCCAAAGTCGTAGGTAACGGTGATTGCGGTCAACGCATTTTGAAGTTGCGTACGTGCCTCTAGTACCTGGGCTGCCAGCGCAGCACGATTCGCGGACCAGTCTGAAGTTCTGGCTCTGTCCAAGTCTCCATGTGTGGGTGGGAAGAATACAGGTAGAAAATCGGTATACGCCTTCTCATCGACTGCTGCCCGTACGCAGAAGATGATTCGCTCAGGTCGATGTGTAGGATGTGAATCCAGGTATTCCCTTATCTCTTGTAGCGCTATACGTGCTGCGACACGTGCAGGGAACATGCAACCTCCAGTACCCAGGCAAGGAAAGGCGATTGTTTTGAACGCGTAGTTAGCCGCCATTCTCATGGCACTCCGATAGCACTCGGAAAGAACGTTGAATTGGCCTACCCCTTTGCGGCCTGTATATCCTGGTGCAGCTGCATGAATTACCCATGAGCTTGGAAGATTGTGGCCGTGTGTGAGCTCGACCTGGCCCACTTTGACCTTGGCTTTCGATCTCGCCTCTTCTCTGAGACCTGAACCGCCGGCTTTATAGATAGCGTGATGCAGAGAATCTGGATCAGGATTGGCCTGGAAGTTACCTGAAGCATTGCTGACGATGGCATCCACCCTCAATCTCGTTAAGTCGTAATGACAGAACGAGATCATCTGATTGTAAGCATCGTTTGGCGCAAAGCTCTGATCGCGCTGCAACAGCCGCCTGGACTGATAAAGCGAGCGTAACGTAGGGATCTCGGCAATCGTGATGATTGGTTGTCTGCTTGATTCTTCAACTTCTTCGTCATACGTGTCAGACCCGGATGGAAGAATCTCGGCTTCTTCCGTGGTCAGTGTATCCACTGTTGGCTGGCGGACGAAGGAGCCATCCTTCTCTACAGCGGAAGTTCATCAGTATGCCGTTTATATTGCAAGCTCTCTGAATCTCAGCTAGACATTGACTTACTGCTTGTGCCAGCGGTTCTGGTGAATGTCCACTTGCTTTTGTTCTTTTTACTCTTGAACACAACGTTGGGGAATCGTTGATGGTCATACAGCGCAGTTGCTTGTTCGCCCACCAGATCATCGGCGAACGTGATAAGGCCAGTCCATGAGCCGTAGCCTCGATAAAATCGTACCGATAGAACTCCTGGTAACGATGAGACGTGTTGTCTAAATGCTTCCCGTTCTTCCAGATGTTTCTGGTGCTCGGGCAATATGTTTTCATCAGGCTGTTCATTGTCGGGTTGCTCGTCTTCCGAGTCGTCCAGGTCGTCCACTTGATTTGAAAACATTGCCAATCGATTTTGACTTTCGTCTGGAAGTTGCTGTAGCATCTCTGCGGACAGCAAATCTGGGCTGGTCCCCACTGACTGGAGTGACTGCTTCCTCGGCCCCTTGTATAGTCGCTCAATTCGAGACTGGAATCTGGGTGTTATGTACTCTTTGCCAAAGGCTTTCTGGAAGCGCGCTGCGATATCCTCCCAAGACACGTTCTCTGTGTCCCCGAGCTGTAGTAGTAGGAGATCTTCCTCATTAATCACAGACTCAAGATCTCGCTTGAACCTCTCGTCTCTCAGTTGCTTACGACGCTTCTGCATCGCTGGTATTTCGTACTGCCTGCCAAAGGTCTCGTGGAAGCGCGCTGCGACCTCCTTCCATGGCAATTGCTCCTCTTCCTTGAGTTGTAGCAGCAGGCGGTCTTCCTCATTGAGCTCCGTCTCAACTGGCTGTTCAGTTTCCAGATCTCGGTTAAGCGCGACCATCTCATTGCTTGAACCGGTACTTATCGACTCGGGCAAAGACTGAGAATTGGAGCTCCCACGGCTTGCCACACTGCTTGCACCGTCTTCGTCGTCTTCTCTACTATGAGGCAGTGCAAAGGTAGCAAGGCGCTCCAAATGATTGGCAATGTGGCTCTGCAAATCATCCAAACCTTCAGTGACCGTGGGCACGAAGCATATGGGGCACTTGTCTCGTGAGTCTACAGCTATGGTCTCTCCGATCTTGGCCATGATAGTTATCTGATCGTCAGGGAAGCTACCGATATGTTCTTGCCGAAGATGATTTTCCAGACCAGCTTGGGTGTTGTACAAGGCGTTTACATGTTCAGGGCAGCGCCAAAGCTTGCGATGAGTCGCTTCGTGCTCTGCCCACTCCCGACGACTGCGGAAGAGTAGTTCGGAACTCTCGCAGTCTCGGTGTGTACAAATGTACGGCTGGAGGTCTTGTAGCAGATGTGTCTTCCAAGCTCGACCTTTTCCGTATCGTGCAGGGCAGACGATCCAACAGTATGGGCACTCGAAGTCCTTGTCGCATGTAGCGGCCTTCGGAGGGGGTGGTAGATCGATCCCTTTCCCGTCCAAGTCTTTCACGGTAACCGCGTAGCTCGTCACGGATTTGGTGTCCACGATATCATCTAGAGACTGATGATGATGCGTCGCCTCCGTACCAGATAGCAAGGTTTTCCCAGTTTTTTGACTCGGCGTCGGCTTTGGGGTATTGATCGTCGGCATCGGCTAAGACCGAAGTTAGATCACGTTCGAAGTACTGCGTTAGGAGACAGCTGATGGAACAGTACGTACTGGGTGAGCTTCAAGAGTGTCATGACGCATCGGAGCTGGCGCTTCATTCGCTGTAGGTTTGCCAGCATCTGCTATGTCTTCGGAATCTGCGGAAGCGCCCAACTTATCACGATCTATCGAAGTCAGACTGTGCAAGGTGCAGCAATATTACTCGTCGAACTTACGACGCTTCCAGTACTTGAAATGCCGCCTGCGCAATGTAATAGAAGAGCTCAACCGCTCAGTCAAGAAGTCCTGATCTTCCTCATTCTGTGCAGGATGCGTCTTCCGTAGCTGCGAGAGTAGCTCTCGAACATGCTTTCGATCCAGTTCAGCGTACACACCGAGGATATCCACACCAGTTTCTGGATCCACTGGCGTGTAGGCAGAGGCTTTGAGCGATCTTGAGCGTACGGTCGGCGTTCTGATGCGGACGCTGAGCTTGTAGAGGTTGTCGATGATGTCCACGATTTCTTCATATCTCATCCGCAACTCGCTTCTAGGCTCGTCGCTGTCAGAGTCGTCGGCCTCTTCCTCACTGGACGAGCCACGGTCGCTATCATCGTCAGAACCCTCCGATGGCGTTTGCTGTTCATAAGGCAGGCGCGCCTCAGAAACGATAGCATATGTTTCATTCAGATTCTGCTCAAGCTCATTCAGTAGTCTGAGGGCGCTACTGAATAAGACGGGGGATCCGCGCAGCCTGTAGTCGAGCGAGCTGTGGCCTTTCTGCAACGCTCCCAGATTGCCAGCCCACACTCTGAATCTTCCGACCTCATCGTCGAGTGTTTCGCTCTCAATCCATTGTGACCACTTCCCGTTGCTTGCGTCGAGAGCTTCGGTCAGTATCTGGAAAGCGCGTACATTGGAAGCTGTCGCAAGCCTAAGAGTCGACATTATGGGCGCCCGGCATGTCGGAGCAGGCGCAAGCGAGGGGAGCCTTGAAGTGCGGCGGCGATCGCACGACCCAAACGCTGGAGTGGTTGTTGATGCGCTGAGCTACTGGTAGCCCAAACCAACTGAGTCGTTGATGCCGACGAAAGGACGGCAGGCAGATGCTCTTGTTACTACAAACTCGACTGCAATGAGATGGTAGATGGCAGGCGGTTAGTCAGCACTCGTGTTGTCAGCGTGCAGCCTGAAGGCTGCGATGCTAGGATCTTTCAGGATAGTGGGGGCGCAGTTCAGGCGCCTCGCGGGCAGTGTTACCTTCTGCTGTCGTAAACTCCTGTTGCTCGCGAAATGAGACACTCATGTCTCCTCTGCCTTATCGCTCGCGACGCAGCCATTATGCTTTAGCTGGGAGTCGTGTTCTTCGCGTGATTGCCTGACAGCCCTGTACCCCGCTCGGCCCTCGCTCCTTCCCTCGCCAACCAATGACGCGCGACATCGCCATTGATTCGAAGACCAGGCCATCGCAACAATGAGCGGCATTGAGGTCGCCGGCCTCGTACTTGGCGCCCTGCCATTGATTATACAGGGTAAATTGCGTCCTGATAGCGGGTGATACAAAGCAAAAACGGGCTAACCGCGAGCTAGCAATAACGTCCTACAAGGAAGGACTCGATCCCATCAAGGGCTTCTTGAAATGGGACAAGGAACTTCCCAAACTTATCAGAAAACTGGGAGCTCAGCATGACCAGTTCAATCAAACCATCCAAATTCTCTTCGGATCCATCACGACAGATGCCGAATGGCTGAAGATGTCAACGGATCCTAGGGCTTCACTAGAGCTATGGAAGAGCAAAGAGACAGCGCTTCAGGAGAAGCTTCAAAACACCTACAAGTCCTATCAGAACACGATGACGGAGATAGCGAGGATAATGACCAAGATCGCAAGCAAATTGGATCTGGAAAAAGCGGCTGAGCTTACACGAAACGATCTCGAGGCAATCCTCGCCGCACATCCTAAGAAGGCTGACGACACATTCGAATTTGGCAAGCGCGTAAAGTTCGCCATGAACAAAAAGAGCGTCAAAGGGCTTCTCGATGAACTTGACGAGTGCAATCGACAGCTGGAAAGATTCACGGAAAAGAGCGAAAAGATAGAAACATTCCACAAGGCTACGAAGCCGTCATACGCTACGCGCTTACAAAAGCTACAACGATATGCCAAGGTTTTACACGAGTCGCTCAACTTGTGCTGGTCATGCGCTTGCAAGTCTTCTCATACGGCGAGCCTGCAGCTTGAGCCCCGCGAGAGCGTATTCGCGTCGAAACATCACAAAATGTACAATTCGGCGAAAACAAGTTTCAATGTTTCTTTTTCGACCATCTCGTCGGATAGCCATGGAGCGCCCTGGCTATTTCAGGCTGCTGAATTCCATGTGGACGACGAAGAAGAGGAAGGCTGTCTCACACCGATGCCCTCTCCCAAACCCAGGGTAACAAAGAGCGTCAGCTTCGGATCGCTTCCTCCATACGCAGTCTTAGATCCCGGAACAAGTTCCTTACCTTCTTATGAAGAAGTCAGCGACTTGTGTGCATCGATCCAGCAACTACACAAGACGTCTTCGACTATCGGCTTCTCATTCAACAGCAAGAGCAAACTACGAGGCGCCTACTCAGTTGACAGCGCAGACGCATACATGCCCAGTACAGAGTTGATATCGCTCGAGACCTTATTAGAACGTCCGCCAACGATCAACGGAAAGAAATCCAAGCTGAGTAAGAAAGAGAGGTACAGCCTAGCTTTGACCTTGGCGTCCAGCATACTCTACCTGAACTCAACTCCATGGCTCGCTAGCAAATGGACTGCGCGGGACATCTTCTTCCATCGGACGTCAGATCCTACTCGTCCAATCGACATCACCCGCCCATATCTCGCTCCAAGCCTTTTCGATATTCCAAAAGACGGAGAGAAGAAACCGAAGCCAGTGACTTTCGAGAACAACATACTCCTCGCGCTGGCCGTAGCACTACTTGAGCTCTACTTCGGCACAACAGCCGAGAAATACCGGAAATCTGAGATTGAAGACGAAGTTGCAAACGCACAAGTGCCAGAACAGTGGAAAATGCTTACCTTAGTGCATACTTGGTCACGCAATGAGGCTGAAGAGATGTCTGCTGCGTTTCAAAGTGCAATCGGATACTGCAGCAGTCCCATGGCTAGCTTACAAAATGCCGACTGCCTCCAAGCTGCAGTTGAGAATATTGTGCTACCGCTGCAGGAGGAGCTCAATCAGTTTTTGGGCAAGACATTAGGTTAGCGCAGCGCTCTAGCTATACGAGCAGAGCGGTTCCACACAGCATCAACCTCAAGGAATTCATCTATGATACTGACTCACCCAAATATCAACATAAAGCATCCCAAGAATTAAGCCCGGCGTCAGGAAAAAGCGTCAGAAGCAGACGGAGCCGCGCCTCCCAACTACATGCCGGGTCGGGACGAAGGCCGCTTACCCAACGCGCATCAGCTCGTATCCGACCCACGCGGCGGGCAATACGACTCTGGGGTAGATCAGGCCAACTAGTGCGGCAAATCCCCGAAGCCAAACTGAACGTCGCAGATCGAGCGGCGAGGTCAGAGGTTGCGATGGAGGAAGATCAATGTATCCACAATAGCCACATCGGTTACCATGCGATGTGGCGAGAGAGGGCGGGGCCTAAAAATAGGAGTATGAGCAAACAGCCTCACAGGACCCCCGCACCCCGCTGCTGCTCACGGCGAATTTCGCACAAACGCATGTTCCCGGTTGCGCGGCAAGAATGTGATTCGAAGGGGTGTCGTACGAAGCTTTACTAGTGGAGGAGGAGGTACTTGGCGGGGTACAAAGTTCAAGGACGGGCTCTGGTAGTACATGACGGATGCTAAGGCTGCGTCGCAATTAGGGCTACATATCACAGTGTAGCGGAATTCGCCGGCATGTTAATCTGAAACGCAATCCAAGGCTACACTTGATCACTCGCATTCGCTCGACACAGTGCATGGCCGTCAATCTTACATGTGCAATACGTGCTTGCCGACTATCGGTCTACGTCATGAACTCTGCTGACCGCATCATGGACCGACATTAGCTGGACCCTTTGGGAGATTATGGCGGAAATTGGAGATCTTAGCGGGGGGAGCGCATTATCTGCGTCGAAGGATGCGGTAGCTGGTGAGTGAAGACGCAATAGCAAGGCGCGCATCAAGCCACGCCGGTCAGCCTTATCTACAGCTTTGGAGCCTGCTAGAAATTGCTTGTTCTACGTGGCCGAAGCGTTTGACCGAGATGGCGCGTTTGAGCATAGGTGCGGCAGAAGTGTCGGACATTGGGATTGTTTTTCCCAAGACACGGCGAGAGCATAAAAGTGGCTCTGTTTCGTTTTACACCGCCTGGACGACGCCAGAGATGCAAGCTGCACCTCCTAACGGGGAAGGGAGCGATAACAAGCTAAGCAAGCGAAGCCACCCGGCAAAGCCTCTAGTTGGCGCGCACGACGCCGCCCAAGTCTGAAACAGGCCCACGGTTGGACGAACGGCGCCGACGTGAGGCGGCCAAAATGGGCCGCATGGGGGTTAGGGGAGGGAGTGAATTGGCCACGGCAAGCTGTTGGTTGTGTAAAAGGAAGTGATGTCTGGTGGTGGTGATACTGGGTGGCAACGGCGATACCTAGGGGTGTTAAGCGCTATTAATAACTCAATGACCGCAAAGCCGGGGGTAATTCAAGTTGGCTACGGAGAGGGGAGTGGAGTGAGGAGAGGAGGGAGCGGCGGCGTTGAGTGGTTGCAGGGCTTTGTTATGCAGGCGACGAACCATAACAACAACACAACCAGCGTCCTCACGACCGCACCACGACACTACTGTTGTAGACTTGTAATCATTCACCCTACGGTTTGGCGTGCTCCTGTCCTGAAGCAGTCCTGCAGTGGGCCAGCAGTGCGCATTCAACGCTCGTCAATCGGTCCAGGGCCATCCCGGTCGAGCTTTGTCTTGGCGTGTCGGCACCCCTTAACGTCACCTGCAATCCGTTTTCTCGATTCCAATTCAAGCTCCTGCCACGCCGACGCAGCTCAAGTTACTTCAATCCCCCCAGCGCTCCAAGCCGCCCGACACTCGCTGAGCCCCGGAACACTCACAGCCCGCCAGCGCAGAGCGCACCCTCACGCTCTTTTCGCTGTTCCGCGCTCCCTCGCCCACCACCACCGCCATGGCACAACAGTACGAGCCCCCGGACTGGCCCTAGACATGGCTAACAGCAGCGCAGAATCACGGCGTCCTTGAAGGACTTCTGGCACACGATGACGTCGTACGACCGCCACGCCTCGCACGACTCGCCCTACCGCACCGGCCGGCACATCCCCATCCCCCAGAGCCGCCACGCCGCCCTCACCTCCATCACGGCCAGCGGCGCCGAGTCCCGCACCGACCTGCACTCGCCCTACCAGCACGACGAGCTCGCGACGAGCAATGGCTTCATCGGCTCCCCCAAGGGCCCCATGTCCCCCAGCTCCCCTTACTCGCCCGGCATGCGCGGCTCTCTCAGCCGCCAGGCCACCATGGATTCGGACTCGATCCCCCAGGGCGCCAACGGCCAGATCCCCATGCAGGACTTCAACGAGGGCCTGCCCCCGCCGCCGCCTGTCAGCCACTCGTGGCGGCGCATCGACCGCTGGGTCGAGGACCACTACCAAGAGCTCTTCGACAACATGTGCGAGGGCTGCACATCCAACGACGTCAACGAGCTGGAGCACGAGCTTGACGCGACCCTGCCCATGGACATCCGCGAGTCGCTGCAGGTCCACGATGGCCAGGAGCGTGGCGGACTGCCGACTGGTGTCCTCTTCGGTCTCATGCTGCTCGACTGCGAGGAGATTGTCATGGAGTGGAAGAACTGGCGGAAGGTCGCCGAGGAGTACCTCACCACAAAGGTTGACTACCGCACACCGCAGATCCCAGTAAAGGCATTTGCTG